CAAAACCGCGTCTAGACTGGCACGGACGCTTTTCCGCAAAAAGTGTTTTTGCCCAAAAGTGTCTGTGCCAATCTAGATGCTCTTTTCCGCAACTGCTTTTAACGGAAAAACTTTTCTGTTAAAAGCATTTGCGGAAAATCATGCCAGTCTAGACGTAGCCAAGGAGTCATGCTGCTGCTTTGCTCCACACTGATTAGGCCTCAGCTGGAGCATTGTGTCCAGTTCCGGGCACCCCACTGCAGGAAAGATGGAGAAATTGGAGGGGTCCAGAAAAGAGCAACAAGAATGAGGAAAGGTCTAGAGACTGTGAGCTAGGAGGGAAGGGTGAAGGAACTGGGCTTGTTTAGTCTGGAAAAGAGACGACTGAGGGGACAGGAGAGCCATGTTCAAGTATCTAAAAGAGTGTTACAAGGAGGGAGACAAATTGTTCTCCTTGGCCTCTGATGGTAGGACGAGAAGCAAGGGGCTTAAACTGCAGCAAGGGAGGTTTAGGTTGGACAGTCGGAAAAACTCCCCAATTGCCCGGTGCTGAAACACTGGAATACGTTACCTGGCCAAGTTGTGGAATCTCATCCTTAGAGATTGAAGAGCAGGTTGGACAGACGCCTGCCAGGGAGGATCTAGATGACGCTGGGTCCTGCTGGGAGGGCAGGGGGCAGGCCGACCCCTGGAGGTCCCTTCCAGTTCTAGGCAGAGCGCCGCGTAGGAAGCCGATCACAGGCCAACAGGCAGCGTGATCCCAGGGCAAGCCCCCTCTCCCTGCCTGCCTCGCAGGGCATTTCAAACACCGCCTGGGATTTTCCACTGGGCTCCACTCCACGACTGGCGCCTATTCCCAGGAAGAGAGGCCCTCAGGAAAGGTTTGCTGCCCCCCCGCTGGGCGGAGGGGTGGGGTGACAGCATTTTCCAGGGCTGGAAAAGGCCAGGCTGCGTGGATGGAACAATGAAGAGGCGGGGGTTAATCATTACAGAAGCCAATGGCCCAGCGAACAGGGCCCAGCCTGCCCGCTGGAGGAGGAAGTGCCAGTGTGTCCTACAGAGCCGCCCAAGGTTAGGCAGCCCAGGGTACCTGGGGACACGGATCCGAGTTAACGCCTTCCCAGACACACCAGCCCGCACCGTGTGTCTCTACCCCAGGGACCGCAGAGGGCCCGTGCGTCGGGCTGTCGTCTTTGCCCAGTGGGGTTCCTGCGGAGCGCCC